AAGAATGCATCAAATTTTGGTGCAAACTATGGAGAACGGGCTGTTGGTAACTACAATAGTAAGCCCATTCAGGACTTGCTGAAGGATTCAAAGCGGTGTGATGGGATACTGAGCAAGGTGAATGAGTTCATGAAGGAGGAGAAGCGTGCAGATGTGAAGGAGGAAGAGGAGGATATGATTTATGAGGACATCGTTGATCGTAGTAGCCCTCCGCCACGTGATGACCCTTAATTATTCCTAGCTAGAATATAGATACCTGTCATTGTCAATAGAAATGCATCAAAATGGTGCATGTTAGCTTCCTTGACCCCCAATTGACATTCTAAAGTGGCCATCTACCTGGAGCGCTCTGAACTTACCCGGTACTTACTGACTTCACACTTATTCGGACTTAGATGGACTTAGCACCCTTGATAAGTCTGAATAAGTCCGTTTGATGAAGTTCTGATGTTGTCGCCATCAAGAGGGTGATTCCTGGCGACAATTTCGAAGAAACCAAGATTGTTCAGTACCTGAACGGGGAGCGTTTGAGGTCCGATGTTCGTAACAATGCAGTACCAGCCTTGGACGTGCTGGAAGTACCAGAGACGGAAAGAGATGGCCCTTGCACTCTGTTGGTGATGCCGTTGTTGAGACCATTTGACGATCCCTGGTTCGAGACGTACGGCGAAGTAGTCGCGTTCTTCACTCAGATGCTCAATGTATGCGACCCTGCCTCTCATCGTTCAGTAACCTTCCATTGACGCTTACTTAGGGCATTCAAGTGATGCATGAGCATAAGATAGCCCACAGGTAAGTACATGGTATAATAGATGCGAGGTGTGGCTCACATTGAGCCAGGGATTGTACCTACAACAACATCATGATGGACGCCTCCTCTATGTATCCCAAACCCTTTCATCCTGTTTTGCAGTATATGCAACGTGACTGGAAAGGGCGTGCACGACATTTCTCTCGGACCCAACGCCATCAGGAAAAAACCCCCTACCTAAAGGCTACCAATAGGTGCCTATAGCACCCTATAGGCACCTATAGGCACTCATAGGCTTAGGTGTATTTAAGCTATGTCCCAAAATATGTTTGCGCCCGTGGCTGCCTATAGCTGCCTATAGCCTCCTAAATGTCCCTATTGGTGCCTATTAAGAGCTTACTAGGATCCCCATAGGCACCAAATCCAATATAATAAGCCCTATTGGTCTCTTATAATATCCTATGTTAGACTATCTGGTCACTGTTTGATATAAAATGGCAGTATTAGACTCAAACAGACTAAGAATAGGACAGTAATTTCTGCCCATGAGTTCCTCTAGGATGATAAGAATGTCCATTAGATCTTATTGCAAGGTATAGTAAGCATTCATATCCATAGAAAATGAGGGACAGCATAGATTAATGATAGGAAGAAAGTAAGTATATGGAAGTAGGAAGTATCATGGTGAGCAGAGCAGCAGAATGGTAGTACTGAGAAGATCAAGGTATTGTAAAAGTTAAGATGTCACTAACAGTGGGATAGAGCAGGGACAAAACAAGGAGCAAAGCAGGAAGACGGCGGGCGATGATGAATCAAAGCAAGGATAGAGCCAGCATCAAAGCATAAGACAGAAAGTATTGGAAAAAAGCGTAGAATAATGAAGTATGGAGGGATAAAGAACAGAGCGCACAAGAAGCATGAACAGAGTAAATACCCAAGGCAAAGGAAAGAGTGTATGAATACAGAAACTGGTGAGTGATCCAGGAGGAAGTAGACATGAAGTTCACTTTCGTGAGCGAAGTTGGAGCCCTGTACCAACTGTGCCTACATCCACATATGTATTCGGCTTCCCACCTTGCGGGTTAGAAGATGGAGAATAATCACTGTTAGGTATAATCAGAAGATCACATTGATAGATATATAAAAACAACTTGACCGTACCGTGCCTCCTCATAGAGATAGGCCATCAGCATATGGTAGCGTTCCCGAGAGCTAGACTTGATGTTCTTGAGCGTAGCCATGTGCGTAGCATACACCCTCTGGCTATACTTATCAGAGTCGAAGTTGATTGAGGTACGGAATCCATCGGCCATCTCGTCCAGACAGTTATGCATCTACATAGCAAGCACAATCAGCTGAGTTGAAGCAGATCGTGAAGTCGAAACGAAGTGAGCAGACCGCAGTTGCAAGTAGGCAAACCATAGATGCTGGAAGTTCAGGCTCGAGAGATGCCGGTCCTTCGTCATAGCTGGAATTGTAGAATTCTGTCGGAAAGATCACGAACGCGTAAGGGCCAAAGAAGCAGTGATTCGCCGCTGCAATAAGCGGACGAGCACAGAAAGGTTGATCCTGATCGAAATGGTTCTCGTCTCCCTAAAACAGAAATTGTCAAGTTGTGATGATTTGACATAGAGCGACATAACGGGAGGAGATAGACAAACATCTACGAGTGGAAATATATACTTCTCCTTATTCGGTGTGCCGATAAGCCCTTGAACATGAAGGGCAATGTCCGACTCCGATAAGTCCTTGAAGTCATACAGGTGCACATATAGCGCACAAGCATCCTTGATGAACTTGCGGAATGTACCAATCCGGGCGATGGGCTACAATCACAAGATGAGAGTATACATGTGTGTTCGAGAAATCGAGGACAAACCACTCACAATCTCGGCCAACGCCTCGCAATAGTCATCTTCGGCTGCTGCACGGTCAGAGATGAGAGGCAGATTAACACCGGGGAAGATAGAGGCTCTGCGAATAGCGCGGCGAACAAGGCGCAGGCGAGTAGACATAGATTGAATCCCAGGAATCTTGACGCCCGGATACGCGGTCGTCCAGCACATGATCTCGGGCATCGTCATCGTGATTACCTTCTGTAGAACCTTACGGACATGGGGTGTCTGCTTCCGAATTGCCATCTTCTTCCCCTGAGGAGATGAGTGAAGGACGGTGTAGTGTGGCCACATCTGTCCACTTGATCCCTGAACCATGTCCTTGAAATCATAGGTCTCGTGAATAGTCAAAATGACACGTCTATAAATTTGATAAAGGAGCAAACAGACCTGGGTAGCCTCAGAAGAATCGGAGGAGATATCGGACATGGAGATACTCTCGCCCTGGCATGACAATAGGTCAATAATGTATATAAGTACTATTTTAGCGTAGACACTTACCCTAGAGTGTGAGGTAGCTTGGCGAGGGTTGGTCACTGACGTACAAGAACATCAGATAGAGGACGAGCAAAGGAAGAACAGTACAAACCAGACGGAGCGTAGTTTTTGGCTATTTGCTTCGACGGCAGAGGCTCCGCGGCGTGAGAGTGCTTGGATGAATGCCTTTGAAAGGCTGTAGGTGGCGGTGAGTGGTTTCGGACATTTGCTGACGTCGAACGACGAGAATCTTGGGGTCTTGAACCTGGATTGTGCTCTTCATGGATCGTCCTAGACCGAGGATCTATGGATACTAAATGGAAGATCGGTAAGTATAGATTAGAAAGGCCTATATATCGGCGGAACGTACCCTTCTTTGTCCTAGCAGAGTGGCCTATAGCTGTGATTAATAATATGCATACACAGCATAATACAAGATGGACTTACCTGTCTCGTTCTTCTGTATTTGCAGAGCTAAAGAGATCAATGCACTATCAGCAAACGTACAAGAGGAGATCACGATAGTGAGAACGTACCATGGACGGGGCCTTTTCCATTCCGATGGCCATCGTGTGGAGCCTTCCCTCGACGTTGATCCTGCACATCTGCACCTAAATCTCAATAAGCAAATTACCCATGTACAAACAGAATACATGCGTACCATCTCGCCCACCGCTCTGCCTATTACCGTGATGATTATTCCTTGCATCCACATCTTCACGGTCGATTCGACCACTCTGGCCACGGTGTCGGACTCGCCCATCCTCATAACGACTCCGTTGTCCTGCCTCATCTTGATGAGACCTGTACACATTCTCATCCCGACGAACTCTGTGTCCTGACGCACTGTGACCATCCCTCACACCCTCACCCACCCGACCATCCTCGGTACGCTTGCCACTGCTCTGACCCCATCCACCCCTACGAAGGCCTCGCTCCTCATCCTCGTCCTGGTGAAGACTTCGCACATCCACAACCTGACGGCTACTGTCTCTACCACCGTGATGGCCAATCCTCAAACCACCACTGCGGTCATTGCCCGTGCTCTGATCACCACGAGAATCGTGCCCTTCCTTGTTCTGATGGCGCCTCTCTTTGTACTGACGAAGACCATTCCCATATTCATCTCGATCTGCAGCTTCATCGCCGCCCGCACGACCGTCGATCATGCCCTCATCATCACGATTATCCTCCATAACCTTGCTCTGATGACGTCCGCGCACACGGGTCCCAAGTCCGGGTCTTTCACTCTCATTCTGCTCCTCGTTCTCCTCCCGACGACGATAATCCTGACCCTTGACCCGACGAAGCGGTGCATCCTCATCCATACTCTCACTATACCCATTGGAATCCTGCTGAACACCTTGACCAGCATCTCCATGATTCATACGACCCGTGCGACCGTCCGCTCGTTGCTCTGTCGAATGCACTTGATCCTCCGTGATTTCTTCGCCTCGATTTTGACCCTTGACCATCGTCCTCGACTTTTCCGGCAATTTTGACTTTGTCGGCTGGATGGAGCGAGAGTTAGAAGACGTGGGGAGTCGGGATGGACCAGCAATTGAGGTAACAGATGTGGCACCTTGGATATGAACAATCAGTAATGAGAAGAACCGGAAACTGACAGATAGGAAGACAGACATACCACGTTGAATAGGTTCCCGAGACTTGTGCGGGAGAGATACAGACTCTTCTGACATGTCAACTATGGAAGGTGCCTTTACTATTAGAGGTACATAGACGAAATAATCATGATGCGAAGCTTACCTTCCGGATTTTTGAGTGATTTTCTTGTAAATCGGCTTGGATCACCTCCGTAACGAACAAAAGTTGCGATCTCTGAAAGCAATAGATGTCAAAGACGTTAGTGGATGTCAATATTTGCTACTGAATGCACTAACCTTCGTCCTCGTCCATCGGACGGGGCATGCCATGATCGTCATCATAATCTTGTTGATGTTCTGGCCAACCGTCGTCATGAAATGATTCGTCTAAGGCAAGGAGGCCAGTCAGAAAGTAGTGATGGTTAGCATCGGTGAATGCACGTGGAGTGGGGAGAGCTCTAAAAACTTACCATGGTGGACGATCTCACGACCTTTACCCTTGTCTGGCCGACCCGCATACTGTCCATCACGGTGAACCTCATCTTCTTCACGTCCCATCTCCTCATTCTTGCCTCCGTGCTCCTCTTCTGCCATCGCATCATCGTCCATGCCCTCGCCATCAACTTGCGGCTCTTCCTGATCTGTGTCGTCTTGGTTGTCTTGGTTTTCTTCGTCATCTTCGTCATCTCCACCGTCTGACTCAGGTAGCACCGGACGGCGGAATCGGGATAATGCCGAACGATACTGTCGTACAGGTGTTATAGGGTTCATGGGCGGTAGGGGTTTCACAGGATCGACTACTTCATTCTCTGGATCATCCTCGTCGGACCACCCATTTTTCCAGAAGAACGGAGTCTATTGGAATGTACACGTCAGCGGTGATTTTTAGGTATATATAGAAAGAACTAGACGCACCGATTGTTGCATCTGCTTCCATAAAGCCTGGGATCCCTTCGAAATCAGCCCTTCGTCGTCAAATTCTTCCTCACTATCCTTCGAGCGATCCGTGCTACTTTCCGAGTCTGTGGTGAATGGTGAAACAGCATCTCCGCCTTCAGTCTTTCCTGGGAGTTTGACCCTGTTGTTCTCGTTGCTAAGCGCTACAAAGTGACAATTTAGCCTTTAATACGAAAGTACGGACTTAAGTGACTGAGTAGTTTGTGCTAACCTTGTGCAGAAGGCTCCTGGTCCGAGTTATCCTCCTCCGAGTCTGGGATAACTGGACGACGTGGGGCTATGAATTGAGAAACAAAAAACCAATACTGTGAGTAACTCTTAAAGATACGATCTCAATTCGAGCTCACCCTTTCGATCTGGACGACGGACTGCTGCTGGATCTTGGGTGGCATCCATTCGTGAGCCTGCATATGTTTGAGTGAGTGATAGATGATAGAGGGGGAAGTGATAGGTACGCACCGGAACCCGCGTCACCGCGGCGCTTTTTGACAGCTGTCTTGGACTGTTCGTCTTGGGCTAGCCCTGCCCTGATGGATGGTGATTGTGAACGTTTCCGCTTCCCACCCCGTGTTGCAGGTGTTTTCCACGCTGCATCAGTACCCACGTCATCAGCAGGTAGTAGCGCATGGATAACAAGAGATAGATCGCACGCTTAGGAGTAGCTCTTGCCTGCCTAGGAGGGAGAACAGTTGCCATGATTTTGGCATCTGCGGCGGCTTGTTCTTCCTTGCGCCGCTGTCGAGTAAGAGCAGCTTTTTGACCGCGAGTCAAGGTTTTGATTTCTTGAGCATCAGTACTTTTGGACGCGCCAGCAGCTGGCGCCATTAAGGGAATTATGAGTTGAAGATGACTAAATAAATTTCGAGAAAAAGAATGCAGTTGGGAAAGAAGAGAAAAGAAAGGTGGTGGGAGACGGACGAAAGTTGAAGTTCGTCGTGACGTGGCGCTACCTAGTGGTGGTTCGGCATCCTCCGAGGCCATGAGGTGGAACTTGTTGGCTCAGTCGAGTGGCAGAAACGATCGAGATTGCTTGACCACAGTGTCAGCTACTACATAGACGTCTCTCATACATTCTGCTGAGCTTGCCTTTCTCTGTGATGCCGCCCAGGAGACCACGTCGGAATGTTCGTCCAACAATAGCTAAGCCTTGTATCTGTGGTGCCTGTGGGCATGCTTTCTCGCGTTCAGGCTTGAAGCGACATTACAATCAGACAACAAACCGGTCCTGTCGGGCATATGCAGAGCAGCTTGATCTTGCCGATCTATCTACTAGCGATGAGCAAGACTCGTCAAAGATAGTCACCAACGACGAATCGGGACAATCTGTCCATATGGCGTCTGATGATGACACGGTGGATGACGGCGACGCTTCAGAGCAGCCTGTCGAGGACTTCTACGGAGGAAACTATGGGGAGGATGACTTTGAGTCTGATGGAGAAGAATTTGAAGATGGCCAACTACAGGCAGATTCAGACATTGAAGGTGTAGATGACGACGCCACATACGAACCAGCCGCACACACGATAGAGGATCTTGGCAGTCTTTTCGTCCTACATCGCTCCTTTACACCGCCATCATCGAGATCACCGTCACCATCTCATTCTCCCACTGATTACCCCCACTCTCCATCCCACTCCAGCGCCCGGTCCAACGGCGTGTGGCACAATCCCGTTGTTGTCCGACTCACGGCGAAGAATCCTGGCGCCATTATAGGATATGATCCGTCTCCTACCTACGAAGCTTACAAGAACAGTCTCAGCGAACACGATCCCAACAATCTCTATGCACCATACAAATCCAAACTTGACTGGGAGTTTGCAAACTGGGCAAAGAGTCAGGGCTGTGGGTCCACAGCGGTCACCGAACTTCTTTCTATGGAAGGGGTATGCTGTTTCCAGTATTATTTATATAGTATGTTCATCTTGGGATTATATCTGACTGCCGTGACTCTTAACAGGTTCATGAGAAACTCGGACTATCATACAAATCTGCACGAGACTTGAACAACATTATCGACAAGCAGCTTCCACCAAGGCGCCCACGGTTCTTTCGGGAGGACGTTACTGTCGATGGCCAGAGCTCCGAATTCTATCATCGTTCGGCCATGGATGGCATTCGCGCTCTTTATGGCGACCCCGAGTACGCTTCAGAGCTACTCACAGAACCCGTGCGACTCTTCACCGACGATACAATGGAGACTCGCATATATAACCAGATGAATACGGGTGACTGGTGGTGGAAGGCTCAAGTGAGTCTTATGATTCCGTTTTGGTGGTTCCATCATTGCTCACCTTTTGGTGGTAGAGATCCCTTCCTCCGAGTGCCACTGTTGTGCCACTGATCTTCTCTTCCGACACAACACAGCTCACGCTCTTCCGAAACAAAGCCGCGTACCCCATCTATCTAACTCTCGGCAATATCCCGAAAGAAATTCGCCGCAAACCTTCCCGCCGTGCATACATTCTAGTCGGTTACCTCCCCGCTTCCAAACTCTCTCACATCAAAAACAAGAATGTTCGCCGCCAAGCACTCAACAATCTTTTTCACGCCTGCGTCCGCAAAATTCTTGCTCCAACTCAGGCAGCAGCTCGCAACGGAATCGATCTGACAAGTGGAGACGGTGTCACCCGCCGTTGCTACCCCATCTTCGCCGTCTTCATCGGTGATTATCCAGAGCAACTCCTCGTCACCTGCTGCAAGAAAGGTCAGTGTCCAAAGTGCGCGGTTCCCTCCGATGAGCTAGGGGAGAACCAGACGTATGCAGCACGTAATTTACCTGACGTCTTGGACGCCCTTTCCACCATCGACCGTGGGCCAGACGAGTTCGTTGCAGCCTGCAGTGACGTCGGCATCAAGCCAGTCCCCCACCCATTCTGGGAGAATCTCGCCTACTCAAACCCGTTCGTTGCCATCTCCCCCGATATTCTGCACGAGATCCTTCAGGGCCTCATTCGTGACCTCGTCAAATGGCTGAGACGAATCTTCGGGGAGGACGAGATTGATGCCCGCTTCCGGAGAATGTCGCCCAACCATAGCCTGCGATTTTTCAAGAATGGTGTTTCGAACCTCTCCAAGATTTCAGGCCAGGAACACAAGGACATTTGCCGTGTTATTCTGGGCGTCATCGTTGGCTTACCTCTTCCTGGCGGTCGCTCTCCTGCCCGTCTTGTACGTTCGGTTCGTGCTCTTCTCGATTTTCTGTACCTCGCCCAATACCCCTCCCACACATCGGACACCCTCGACGAGCAGAAACGCGCCCTAGACAAATTTCACGCCAACAAAGCCATCTTTGAGGAGCTTGGGATCCGGACTCACTGGAAGATCCCAAAGTTACACAAGTTGTCTCACTATGTTCCTTCGACTTCGCTATTCGGGACGGCGGACAACTTCGACACCCAGTACACGGAGCGCCTTCACATCGACGTCGCAAAAAACGCATACAATGCCAGCAACCGTAGAGACGAATTTCCACAGATGACGCTGTGGCTCGAGCGTCGAGAGAAGATGATGGAACATGAGCGTTTCATTCAGTGGCGCATTGCTCGGTCTCAGCAACGCCAGGATGCTATTCCTCTTGTCTCTGTCCAGCCTCCGCAGATCCCTCGACCTCTCCTTCCGCACGTTGCACGCTACCCAAATGCCAAAGCCGTCTCTTTCCAGGCACTCGCTACGTACTACGGCGCCACCCAATTCGAATCTGCGCTAGCTCGCTTCATCGTCGAGCTCAATAATCCAAGCCTTACTCCGCAACAAATCTCTCATCGTGCCAAGTCGCAGCATGTTCGCTGCTCCGGTGTGCCCGTCTTCCATCGAGTCAAGTTCTGGCATCGTGATCCACAGGGCTTCGACGACGAGGCTGAGATTCTGGACACAATACATGCACGTCCTTTGTATAGGGACACACAACATCGAAAGGTCGAAGGTCGCTTTGATACAGCTTTGGTGGATGAAGCGGGGGAAGGGGAGGAGTCTGGTGTGGCCGGTATGTCTATCATAATCCTTCCTACGCGTCATCGTTGGTCGACGTGAGACCGTTCTTCATCCCCTCACCTCCATTTCACGAATTTTCATCCGTTTCCACACAAGGCACCGCGAGGTTGACACTTTTGGACTATGCAGGATATCGCGTTGCTCAGGTTCGCGTCATCTTTACCCTTCCGAAAAAGATGGTAAAAGCCACATTTCGTCCCGGCACTCACCCTCCTGCCCACCTTGCGTACATTGAATGGTTCTCCCGCTTCCCTGACCACACCGATCCCAACCACGACATGTACCGCCTAACTCGCACCATCCGCAACGGCCAACGTCACGCCGTCATCATGCCCATTGATCAACTCAAGAGTAGTGTACATCTATACCCCAGCTTTGGACCTACTGTACCTCGTGATTGGACTCCATCTAATGTTCTCGACAAGAGCCACTTCTTCTTTTCGAATCCGTTTTCTAATCGTCGAATGTACATCACACTCTATTGAGCTTCCACGAGCACCATGTCTCAGAGTTTTAGGCATAACTTATCCATATTTATCACAGTAGAACTATCACATATGACATCGGCCTATGATTCGAACGAAATACTTATCATAACGGTGACTTGCACTTCGCCAGCTTCCTTCCTTGGGCCGGGGCACGCACAATTGCAATTGCCCATCATTGCGAGCTTATACATCTATACATAACAGAAGTCGACGTAGAAGTCGACAGAAAAAGTGGCAGTCGCAGAGCTAAGAGCACCCACAACTCTTCGAGACGTAGGTAGTAGAGATAGTAGTTCTTAGAATGTATCTTCGACCGAGCGGCATGTTGAGCGATGGCGTTGGCGGGACATTTCCGCTGCTCGGGGGTCACAACGACAGTGGCACTATACTTGAGATCACCGATAACTCAAAGCAAAAGAAAATAGAAGAGGAAAAAGACGAGGAAACACTTACATGTCTGGCAATTCTGCGGTCTCCGTCTTCGGAGCAGCTATCGTCATCGCTGACGACCTCCTAAAAGTCCTCCTCGAGATGTCATCGCAGTCTCCTTGATCACCTTCTCGGGAGGTATCCCGTCGCTCTTGGTAGTCCGCGCAGGCGACTTGCGATCGCGGGTCCCGGACCTCGAGGTTTGTCCCGCAGTAGATTCCTCCTCCGAGGGAGCGTCAGAATCAGTCAAAAGAATTTGAAACCGACGGAGGGGCTAGCTAGAAACGTAAAGGAGTGTCATACTTTGCTGGATGCAGTGGAGTAGGACCTGCGAGAGGGACAGTGGAAAGAATGAAAAGTGGAAATACAACAAACCGCGAACACAGGGCAATGTTGCGAAGAGCGAAAGACGAAGAGCGCACCATGAGAGCATAAGAACAACCTTCAGACGGATAGATCACGCCATTCGTCCTCGACAACGTAGGTCGAACGATGAGCACCAAGCCAATGTAAGATGTGGCCTTACTAGCGGGGTTAGACGGTGAAATGAATGTAGATATTGTGAACATCTGTGATATAAAATATGATCAGAGCTGGTAAATGGCGGGTGAGAGAAAAGTACGGTTGCAAGAGAATCTACAGATATTCTCTCTCGCCGACAGCCCACGAACTCGAAGACAAGGAGAGTGTTGGCTGGCCATCCCACAGCTGAGCGTCGAGCAGCAGTCTAAGAAAGAGAATCCACCCTGCTCCGGAGGTCGCCACGTCGGCGAGGCGGATTCCCAAGAGAATATGGGTGAGTTGAAGGTTGAGAGCGCGTCGCGACTTAAATACAGCGTAATGAGTCGGAGATCAAAAGAGTGCAGTCAACAGAGCGCGTAGGAGCGCGTTGGCGCGTTTGGTCACGGGATCCCACGCATCGCCACGTCGTGCAAGTGTCGGCGTCTCCGACTCCATTTCGACGACGAGCTCGCCCTCAGGCTTTCATGTTACCGGCATCCGTCCACCCGAGGCATATACGGACGCTCCTAATCACGATGAGGACGTCCTGTAATTACTCGGATACACCTTCTACAAACCTCAGGCGAGCTTTCATACCGCAAGAGCCGGCTTTCACCATGCACCACCTTCAACGTTGAGCATCGAACGTCACCGTCGGATCATCTTTCGGCGCCGTTCACCTGCCTGAAGAGTCGGCCACGACATCAAAGAGCCATACGTTTATAATAACATTGAGGTGCACAATTTCTCTTATGGAAGGCCGGAGTCATTTCTGCTTTAGCGCGCATATGAACGGCACGTTTCGCAGCCTTGGGTTTTTCATACCATTTTCCACTATTTCTGCATTTCTTAGGGTTCGTTCTTTCTTGAAATTTACCTCTTGAGCCTACACCATCAGTCCAAACGGCCTTCCTCATCGTGACTGGCACGCGTCTCAACGCAGTCGTCACGGTGTGGAAGTTATTTTTATATTTGGTCCAACTGGTATCTTGAGATATTCACTAAATATTTCCCAGTCATCTAGTCGCTTATGGGACAGCTTGCCTCTCGTCTCGTCGTCTCGTCAGAGTCTACTTAGCGTTGAGGTATGCTCCATCATATTGCTTCCTCTAATCATCTCCGTGCTGAGATGAGATTCCTCGTCAGTACTGTCGGCGGCAGAGAGATATCACCAGCATATCTAAACAATGACTGAAGGCCCACCAGACTATCCTCACACCACGAACCATCCTTCCGACGTTTTTCATCATCGACATCCTCTCCGCGCCTCTAGGAGGCCTTCTCATCTGGGGCAGTGGTTTGGTGCGCTTCCCATTCTATTGCAACCTCAGATGTCATCATTGACACTACACAGTGTGGCCCCGTTCGCGGAATTTTCACAGATCTCCAGGACGCCATCACGAATCACACCGTCACCGTTTCTCAAAATGCCTACCGCCCCAGCGCCTCAGACCTGGCGAGCAGCCTAACTCCGCACCATGATATGCTTCCTCCACCACTCGAGCCAGACAGACGTCAGCAATCGACAGCAGTGCATCATCCAGTTCGACATCCCATACGACGTGAAGTCGGCCGTACTCCTGTGCTACAAGCCCACGAACTTCTGCCAGAACCACAGGCGATATGTACAGACTTATGATGCAGATTAGTCGGAGGGTGATGGGAGGTGTGCGTCGGAGACACAGAGTGGGAATTGTAAGCCCGTGGCGGAGATCTCGGATGGGACTTCGACGAAAGCCGTCTGTTATTGCGGGTTGATGCCAACTCGGTATCTAACGGTACGTCTTCTACCTTTACCTTCTTCTCAATAAGCAAGCTCAACCATTTGCGCCTTTAGACACTTTTAGCAGCTTTACCAATGTCGACCATCCCGACGGCTTCACCACGGCGACCGCAAATTACACGCTCTCCGAGAGCGGTATTGCACGGGAGGTATGATGATCAGAACAGGGACAGGGATAGGGATTATCGAGCTATTCGTCATCCTCGAGGAATGAGGATAGGTCGCGGTACGATCACTATGAGCGGGACAGGACAGGGACAGAGACTCCCTACGACCGCGACCATGGATACGACAAGCACCATGATCGTGACCGTGACCTCTCCTCTCCTCGATCCGTTCCCCACCCCCAGCCTTTCCCGCTCCCTCCCTCTCCTCAGTCTCCAAACATCCTCCCGCCCCACCCGCCCCTTCCTCCGCTCCACCTCTCCGTTCTACCGCACCCTCCAACGAAGCCATATCCTCGAAGAACGTAAGGCCTTCATCCGCGCCGAAACTCAACGGCGTATAGAAGAACGCATAGCCGTTCTTGACGTCCCCGTTCCCAACGCCGAGTGCTCACCGAGTGTGGAGGATAGGTTGGTCAGTGAAAGGAGGGAGGCGCAGGAGAAGGCGAAAGGGGCGGAGAAAGGGGCGAAGAAGAGTGGGACGGAAAGGAGGGCGACGTTGGAGGGACGGAAAAGAGGGCGAGGTTGGAGGGCGAGAAGGCGGTCAAGGAGGGCAGGTCTCCTTGATCCGCAGCACCTCCTGCACCGACGACGTCTGTGAGTGCGAGTGCGGTTGAGAAGGTGGCTCCTCCGACCTAAGCCGAGGGTTCCGGTGCCATCGCCACCGACGAAAAGCACGCTCGTTAATCGTGGGGCTCCGACGCCTTCTCCTGTCGCACCTACGCCTCTCGCTGCACCCACTCCTCCAGCGCCCGCTCCTGTCAAACGAAGATCCAGAAGAAGCGGTTTTCCGTGCGCGTGAGGAACGGTTCAAAGACAGATAGAGGGAGTCTCAGAAAAGGAAGGAGGCGATGTCGAGGGCTTCGAATCCTAAGCCTCCAAGTTCTGCTCCTCCTTCTGCTGCCGCTGCCGCCACCTCCACCCCCGGCACCTCCGGCCCCGGCCATGGCGCTCCCAGACCCGAGAAAGCGCGTAGAAGAACAACATACCTCAACGCTGCTCCCTGCTCGACCACTGGCCTCGACTCAGGCGTCCCTCTCCTGAGCCCCTCCGTCGACATGAGCCAGCCCTACAAGGCCGGTCATAATCGGGGCTTTTCTACTCCCGGCTCGTAGACCCACTCGCGCAGCCAGAAAACGTTTTGGCCCCGAACAATTGCTCTCATCAGGCTCTGCCACCGCTCACCGTCCCCTCCTCCGACTCGCGACTTGATAGCCAACCCGTCTCAATACCCCTACGCCGAGCAGAACTCCTGGTCCTTCTCGCCCACCAACAGCGGCAGCTCGTCCGTGACCTCCGGTAGCCTCTCTTACCTGCTCACAGCCGGCGGCTCCACTTACCCACCCACCCGTCCGACCATCAACGCCAACTTCTCATTTCCCTTCTCATCCAGGCCCAGAGTGCATCTTCTCTTTTGCCCGCCCGATAAAGGTTTCGTGACTAGCTTCTATAGAATTCATCTCGTGCGACGACACGAATTCGCACCACTACAACTCGCGGCCCGGATCTGGCTACACACGGTCGCTGACGCCTCCCGTCCGTCGTCTTCGAAGGCAACTTAACCCACCACCACCGGCTTGCTTAGCATTCGTCAACTCCAACCGCCGCCGCCTAGTACACGTGCCGTACTCGAAAGAGGTCTCACCAGTTCTCTGCGGCTCCCTTATCGATACTCTGTTCCTATCTCGACCACTTCATCGCATACACCCTCCATCGACACGCGCCTACCCTCACACTGTCCTCCCACGATCCGCGCCTTCACCCTCACCAGCCCCAGTGCTAGCTTCTCGATGGCGATAGCTTCATTGGGTTATCGCATGCTGCCGCCCAAGCCGGAATCAGCATCGCCGCTGACCAGTGCACGAGGTTTTCCCTGGCGATATCACCCGCCGTCCCACTCGACTTCCACCTCTCCCGATTCGTCGGCCACCCCACTGCCACACTCCCGCACTCCGTACGATCGAGTCACGATCAGACTGGGGCCCGTGTACTTTTATCATGGTGTAGTTTGATCGTGGCTTCTTCTCTCCTGGTACATAATTTTCGTGCTCGGCGACCTGCGTTCTCCTTCGGAGGCATTTCCATCACGAGTTGTATACTTTACACAACTACTTCGTCGGTTTACTGTATCTATTTCCCCATCATGATGTCTCACAGGCTTTCCTGTATCCTTGCCTACTTTTAGCATAGCAGGCCACTAGGAGGTAGTACCAATGTAGTATCTTAAATGGACCATATGAGGTGTGTAATAGACAATACCGGAGCAAAAAAAAGAAAAGTCAACAGAGCTCAGGAGTCGCATTTGGGGTCGAGCTGCGGCTAGGTGGATTTAGGCAGCTCTTAGGCAGCGCTTAGGCGAGCGCCACCGGAACGACGCGACTTCCGATTTAGGCAGGATTTAGGCGCGGGTGAATTTGCTGATGGCCCACCCAGATATTATTGGATCGACTTCGGACACTCACTTCACTACGAGAATCTCCCCGTCCTCCAGCTCCCGAAAGCCGGTGGAGACCATTCGGTCCCCGAACACCGAGGCGATAAGTATCAGGTCCCGAGCGACCCGTTCGCTACGGACGTTTATTATCTGGGCAATCTCATACGCCTGTACTTCGTCCAGGTTAGTGTCTTCGCTTTCTCTCGCACCCTTACGCGTGATTGACCCTATGCCAGCGCTGTATCGGCTTCGGCTTCATGGAGGCCTTGGTCAATGACATGGTTCAGGCCGACCCGGCTAAACGACCCAAGATTGACGAGGTTGTTTCACGCTTCCAGATAATCAGGGACTCACTCAGCTGGTGGAGACTTCGGTCTCGTATAATTGATCGCAGTGAATGGACAATTGCTCGTACTATCAGGTTTCTGCCTCATGTCCTGCAGACTGCCGGCCAGATAGTTACCCATAAAACAGCCATTCCCGACCCTTGACAGTGTTGCGGTTTCACATTCTATAGTAATTGCTCTGCTGTTCGCTTTCTAACACTCGTCCATATCATGTTACTCAGGCTCTCCAACTTGCTATCTGTCGATATCTCTGCTTACGATATGCTTTGTTTGAAATTCGAGTGACCTTGAAACTTCGCCCACAAGTATGCGTTATTTGTATGTATTTGCAATCATGAAAGTTGACGTTACTACCGGCCCGATATTCAAGGTTCAACTCCAATTCGTCTTATCGTTGTCATGGCCACTCAACCTGACAGGAAATCCTACATACAACATTGACAGATGTCTCAGGAAGAGCTCGAGCTCGCCGCCTTCGGACGCCGAACAGCCTTTACTGATGGTCCTGGCTCGCTCACCATCGCAGAATGTCGTTGGCTTCGATGTCGTGCCTTTTTCGATGAAGCTGGATATATGTTTCGCGCACCCAGATACCAGGAGGGCTGGGTGCCATCGTGGAAGGGGAAGAATCAGTTTTACCAAGAAACAGAGGATGGGCAAGTGAGGGTACGTCTACTTGTATCAATATATATATTGTTCGTTTCTTCACAAGATCCATACAGGCCAATATCATGTTCGACGCCATCAGGACTTCAGATGGAGCGCCTGTCATAATGAAACCCATGAGCGCGTCCAAAGGTTCTCATGAATTGGAACTTACTCGTTACGTTAACACGGAACCTCTCGCTTCAGACCCTCGCAACCATTCAGTGAAGCTACTAGACGTTTTGAGCGTGCCGGAAATGGGAACGCTCGACGATGAGTCGTCACTTGCGAGGCGAGAGGATGTAGAAGTGCTCGTCTTTCCCTTGCTCAGGCCATGGAACAGCCCTTCATTTCATACTGTTGGTGAAGTTATGGCTATGCTGACGCAGATGCTCGAGGTACGCTCTTCTTTTGTTCGTCTATGATCACCGGTCTGTGTCCTAATAGTTCCCCCCTTCATTGTCGTCCCGCCATGCTACAGGGAGTCCACTTTCTACATGACAACCATGTAGCTCACCGGTAAAGCATCAGAACTTCATCAAACGGACTTATTCAGACTTATCAAGGGTGCTAAGTCCATCTAAGTCCGAATAAGTGTGAAGTCAGTAAGTACCGGGTAAGTTCAGAGCGCTCCAGGTAGATGGCCACTTTAGAATGTCAATTGGGGGTCAAGGAAGCTAACATGCACCATTTTGATGCATTTCTATTGACAATGACAGGTATCTATATTCTAGCTAGGAATAATTAAGGGTCATCACGTGGCGGAGGGCTACTACGATCAACGATGTCCTCATAAATCATATCCTCCTCTTCCTCCTTCACATCTGCACGCTTCTCCTCCTTCATGAACTCATTCACCTTGCTCAGTATCCCATCACACCGCTTTGAATCCTTCAGCAAGTCCTGAATGGGCTTACTATTGTAGTTACCAACAGCCCGTTCTCCATAGTTTGCACCAAAATTTGATGCATTCTTCACCTTGATACCGGTCTTATACATTGAACAGACCCGGGTTACCTATACTCCTCAAATCAGAAAATAGAATAGATTAGATTGGGTAAAATATGACATACTGCAAGCTTTGTGATGAGAAGTGCGCCGACGGGGAATTTGTTG